TGGAAGGCAGGGCTCCAGCGGACGCGATGGCCGTGCACCAGCCCATGTGCGAGCAGCCTGAGGCGGAGCTGAGCCCGGCACGCGAGCCCCCGCTCTGTCCTGGACTAGTTGTTGGTGCGGTCCTGCTAGTGTCCCCACTTAGAAGCTGGCGAAACGGCTCCGAGACTTTCACAATAAAGTGGTAGAACTGGCCGGGGCTTGAACCAGGCCCGGCGACACTGAAAACGGTGTTTCTGCGGCACCATTGGCACCTGGAGCCAGTCCACACACCTGGGCCACGCTGGCTGCGTCAGGGCACTTGGGACCCCCTTATAAATGCAGGGTTCTGCTCAGTTGTTTACAGCGTCGTCCCCATACCAGTGAATGCACGAATGGGTGGAACAACAAATCTCTCCCTCTTCCTCTCTGTCTCTAAAATCAGTAAATTAAAAAATGTATACTTTTAAAAAATACAGGGTCCTGAGCTCTGCCCCGTCTCAAAGCGATTGATGCAGGGTTTGAGGAAACACTTCTTAACTGAAAGTGGTAAGAATAACAGAAGAGCTTACAAGTGCCAGCCCCTGCGCTGAGGCTTTAAGTAGATTTTCATGGAATTCTTTTTTTTTTTTCTTTTTGATTTTTATGTAATTCTTAAAGAAGTCGGTGCTTCTCACTGTCCCCATTTCACAAGAGAAGGAACCTGAAGCTCTGCATGTTTGACTCCTCCAGGGTCACTCGTCCCACGAGTGTCTGAGATGGCACCACTCCTTCTGTGTCCTAAGACTTGCTGTTTCCCATCACATTATTCCTGCCTTGTAATAGTCAAGACTTGACGATTCCCATCACATGATTTCTGCTTTGTAATGGTCACTGCCATTTGTTGGGGCCCTAGGATGAGCCCTCGCTCCCACATGTAACTCTGAGCCACCCTCAAGGGCTGAGTAAAATGTGGCTCTGGAGGAGTTTGTATCCTATAGGAGAAGGTAGGCCAGTCTGTCAATTAAGACAACTTGATAATATATTAATAGGACAAGAACAAGTGCTATGGGAAGGTAGAAATGGGAGGAGACTGGGAAGGTTTCACTTGGGTGGGGGTCACGTGACTAGGTCTTGAAGGCTGTTGGATTTTGACAGTATTGGAGTGGAAGGGAGGATATTCAAGGTTATGGGTACGGAGTTTTTTTTGGGGGGGGGTGATGAAAATGTTTTGGAACTAGTGATGATGGTCACACAACTCTAAATACACTAGAAAGCACTGAGTTGCCCACTTTAGAAGAATGACTTATGTGGTGTGTGAATTCAGAGCTGCAGAGATTTCAGGTAAAGAAGTAGAGGGGCTGATGTAGTAGGAGTGAATGGTGGAGAGAGGTGAGGGAAGAAGAAACCAGAGAAGTCATTTGTACCTGGACCGAACTGGAGAGTGGACTGAATTTGCAGGCGGTGTTGGTAGAGAGTCGTGTGTATTGTCAGGGGAGGCTAGAGCCCTCCTTCAGCAGAGGGTGTGGGGGGCATTTGGAAATTCTGTCTGGGGACTTAGAGATTATGAGACTTCAGTTTGCCCAAAGCAGAGCTGACGGTGTCTTGGTTAAATGTCACATTCATTCAAATATGTATCAGGCACCTGCTGCGCCAGCCACAGGCCAGGCCCACACATACCATGGTAAATTGGACAGTTGTGGTCTTGACCTCCCTCCTGCTTAGTTGTGATACCAACAGCTGTTTGCAGGGGCCCTGTATGAACAGAGCCCCTTCCTATCTCAGTGCATCCTTGAAAGAAAGAGGTGAATCTCAGTGGCTATCTCTGCCCACCAGCCTGAGGGCCTGGAACTGTTCCTTGAAGGAAACATTGCACAAGGGTTTGTCTGAAAGCCAGGCTCCCTTGTTGATGCACTTGATTTGGGATAAACCACATTCCTGAGTGCTCTCCCACCCCCAGCTGCAGGCCTTTGGTCCTGCATTAGGCCAGGATGCTTCCCGGGTGAGAAAGCATGTGTGCTGTCCACAGTGGGTCCCAGGCTCGGAATCCTGGCTCTGACCTCTGCTCCTTAACTGTCAGCTTCGCCTGAAGTTGGATGCTCTGTCAGCCAATTGCTCTGGCCCAGGGTCTTCAGGCCCAAATGTCAGTCTGTGGACTATGGGCTTTCTGAGAGAGGCCTCAGCCAGTGGCTGTCTTCATCACCTGTGGTAGCTATAGTTGGCAGAACTCTGCTCCCCCGTCAATCTTCAGCTCTGAGCGTAGTTGACCCACAGTTGGTGCTTAGCAGGTGTCTGGGTCTTGAATAGATGGATGAGAGACTTGGCTATACCTCTGATAGATTATTCAACACCAAGTACGACCTGGTCCAGAAGCAAAGGCAGCTGTTGAGTTGCTCTGGACCTGCCACTGTCTGTCTGTCCTCTTGGGCTTATGTGCATTGCCTCCTGAGGGTCTTACAGCTCTCCTGTGAGGAAGGTATTATTCTCCCCATTTTGCAGATAAGAAAACAAATTCAGCCCTGGTTGGATAGCTCCTTCGGTTAGAGCAGTGGTCGGCAAACTCATTAGTCAACAGAGCCAAAGATCAACAGTACAACGATTGAAATTTCTTTTGAGAGCCAAATTTTTTAAACTTAAACTATATAGGTAGGTACATTGTTATTAACTTAATTAGGGTACTCCTAAGCTGGCCTTTGCTAAAAACGTCCTCAATCTGATTGAGGTCCGCTCGCCGAGGTCGACCCCTTCCAGCTCTCCCATCCACACTCGTCTTGTATACTTCTGCGCATGGGCCACGAAGTTTCAGTCGCACCGTACGTGCGCGCCCCCATGTGGTATTTTATGGAAGAGCCACACTCAAGGGGCCAAAGAGCCGCATGTGGCTCTCGAGCCGCGGTTTGCCGACCACTGGGTTAGAGCATTGTCCTGATACGCCAAGGTTGTGGGTCTAAATCCCCGGTCAGGACACATACTAGAATCAACCAATGAATGTGTAAATAAGTGGAACAGCAAAGTGATGTTTATCTCTCTCCCTGACCCCTCCCTTCATTTCTCTCTAAAATCAATAAGCAAACAGAAAAAAAATTCAGAGAGGTTGAGTAATTTGCCCAGCGCCACACAACTAACAAGAAGCAAAGCTGGGGCCTGGCTGGCGTAGCTCAGTGGTTGGGTGTCGACCTATGAACCAGAAGATCAAGATTTGATTCCCAGTCAGGGCACATGCCTGGCTTGCAGGCTCAATCCTCAGTTGGGGATGTGCATGAGGCAGCCAGTTGATTATTCTCTTTCATCATTGATATTTCTCTCTCTCTCCCTCTCCCTTCCTCTCTGAAATTGATACAAATATATTTTTTAAATAAAGAAAAAGAAGAAGCGAAGCTGGGGATTCCAGGTTATGTCAGCCCAGCTCCAAAGCAGCATTCTCACTGTGCTTTCACATTGCTTCTGAGGTCCCTGGCTTTTTGCAGTCTTCTCCCCTAAGTAACTAGAGAATCTATGAAATGAGCTGCTTTATTGGGAGAAGCTTTGTTACTCCATAGTGACTGGCCATTGTCAAGTTTTGTTAATAGTAATAAATGAAAACCAACATTTATTGATCACCTACTGTGTCATCAGGCTCTGTATCATGCACTTTATGCACATTACCTCATTTAATCCTTATGGCAGTCCCATTGTTGGTGAGGAATCGGAGGCTCAGGGAGGTTGAGAACTTGTCCAGGGCACACAGCTGGGATTTATTTGCACACGGGTAATCCCAAAGCTTGCCTGTGTAACCACTAGACCACACAGCCTCCCCTGGGAGTTGGCTCTCCCGGGAACCTTGTAGTCTAATTCAGCTGACCAGGCAGCTCCCTTAGCTACTGGGAAACTGCAGAACAGCCCAGCCTTCCCTGCAGCCACAGAGCTCTGGCAGCTGGAACCATGGAGCCACCATGCCACTTTGGTTTGAAGCCTAGAGGGGATGGTAGGGGGAATTGCCCATTACAGCCTTGTTCTTAACATTCATTTTTTTAGCAACAGTTACTACCCTGGGCAGAGTACAAGGTGGTACAATGGTGTTGCACTCAGGCATGTGGCAGCAAAGGAGGGTATGTTCTGAAGGTTGAAGGTGCCAGGCCAAGGAAACCCTCTGGAGTCACCTAGTGGCCTGTCAGTCTCTCTCTGTCACTCAGACCGGACCAGCAATTCATCCCAGAGCCTCCTGTCCCACTTGAGAGTGGCTTTAGGTGGGGTTGGGGAGTCAGGTGAGGCTTCCCAGTCAATAACATGTCCATTGTTTGTCTTCACACCTGCAAGGCAGCTGGCTGGAGCCCTGATCACAGGAGTCTCCACTGAGCTTTGGTTTCTGGTGTGAAATACAGGGCTTATGAAATTTCCACCCACTCGTGAAATCCAAACCCACTTCCATTTATTAATTCCTGACAATGGCCCAGAATTACTAGGGAAGGGCACGTTCAAGGGAGGCCAGTTCTGGAGTCTGGATTGCACTGGAATCTGACAAGACCCTCTGGCCTCTGGGTTGGGTCCTTGCTTTGTTGCCCTTCCTGCAGATCCCAGAACCCTGTGTGAGATGGGCATCCTAGGGATGCCATGGCTGATAGCACTGGCTTTGGGATCCTTGCCCACCTTCCCCTGAGTACTAGCTGTGTGTCCTTGGGCTGGTCTCTAAATATCTCTGTGCTTTAGTGTCTTTTTTTGTTTTGTTCTTTTTATGTTGTTATTTTTTATGTCTCAGTGTCTTGAGTTGTTAGGGTTAAATGGCACAATAGCCCTAGCCGGTTTGGCTCAGTGGATAGAGCTTGGGCCTGCGGACTGAAGGGTCCCAGGTTTGATTCTAGTCAGGGGCATATGCCCGAGTTTTGAGCTCGATCCCCAGTAGGGGGCGTGCAGGAGGCAACTAATTAATGATTCTCATCATTGATGTTTCTATCGTTCTCTCCCTCTCCCTTTGTCTCTTAATTAAATCAATAAAAATATGTGTTAAAAATAAAAAATAAATAGCACAATAAACAGAATGTGTTTGGTGTGGTGCCTGTCACTCTTGCTTAGATTACTTGCTTAGATACTTGTTGACTGATAGGAAATCTAAAGACAGAAAAGTACAAAGAACAAGGGAAACCACTTGGATGTGCCCCATGAACAGTGTTGACCTGCAGTGAGCATTCTCCAGGTGTCCTCTACCAAGTTTGTACCATCTCTCACACGCAGTCATTTTCACATGGGCAGGCTATATGTAATCTCTGTTCACTGTAAGATCTGCACATTTGCCCATTTCAGCTGCCTTCCTGGTCCCTTTGGCTTTTGGCTGCTACCTGGACATTTCTTATGCTTTCTCCCAGTTTGGGCTCCCCGTGGTCCCTCGGCCTAGGAAGCCCCAGTATCCCCATCATAATTCTACCTGCCCTTCAAAACCCATCCCAGTAGAAATACTATTGTCTTCTAGTAGCTCCATCTCATTCCTGGGTTTCCATCCATGCCTCTGGTCACGTGCTTAATGAGACTCCCCACTTGCCTCTGTGGTGCATGGACCCCTGTGGCCTCAGGGTGGGGCACTGCCGTGTGGCACTGCCTCGGAGGATTTCCCTGCAAGGCCTGGAGGTGTGGGAGCTCCAAGGACAGGGGCCCTGCATCTGATTTTATTTTATTGACTAGAGGCCCGGTGCACAAATTTTTGTGCACCGGGGGTGGGGGGAGAGAAGGTTCCTCAGCCCGGCCTGTGCCCTCTCACAGTCTGGGACCCCTCGCGGGATGACCATCTGCTGGCTGAGGCCTGCTCCCCAGGGGATTGGGCCTAAGCTGGCAATCAGACATCCCTCTGGCAGCCCGGCAGCCATCGGGGGATGTCCACTTGCCAGCAGGGAGCAGACCTAAGCTGCAGTCGGACATCCTTAGCGCTGCTGAGGAGGCAGGCGAGGCGCCCACCACCACCACTGTACTGGCAGCCATCAGCCTGACTTGTAGCTGAGCAGAGCTCCTCCATGTGGGAGCTCACTGACCACCGGAGGGCAGCTCCTGCATTGAGCATCTACCCCCTGGGGGTCAGTGTGTGTCATAGGGACCAGTTATTCCCAGTCATTCTGCTGTTAGGGTCAGTTTACATATTACCCTTTTACTATATAGGATAGAGGCCTGGTGCACTGGTGGGGGCCGGCTGGTTTGCCCTGAATGGTGTCCCGGATCAGGGTGGGGGTCCCGCTTGGGTGCCTGGCCAGCCTGGGTGAGGGGCTGATGGCTGTTTTCAGGCTGCCCGCACCCCCTTCAGGGTGGGGGTCCCCCACTGAGGTGCCTGGCCAGCCTGGATGAGGGGCTAAGGGCTGTTTTCAGGTGGGCCAAGCCTGCAACTGAAGCTTCCAGTCTCTCCTTTTTTTCTTTTTCTTTTTTATTCTGGGATTTATTTACCTTCTGTAATGGAAACTTTGTTGCGGCTCCAGCTCCGAGGCCAGCTGGCTGAAAGCAGGTATCTGGGGTTTGTTTAGCTTCTATAATTGCAACATTGTTGCATCCGGAGCTCAGAGCTGGGCCGCGGCAGGCGGGGAACCGTGGCTTCCTCCATCACTGGAGCAAGCAAGCCTCATGTTCGCTTCAGCTGCGTGGCTGCTAGCCACCATCTTGGTTGGCAGTTAATTTGCATATCACCCTGATTAGCCAATGGGAAGTGTAGCGGAGGTATGGTTAATTACCATGTTTGTCTATTATTAGATAGGATTTCATTGATTGATTGAGTTTAGAGACAGAGCGGGGAGGTGGAGGTGAGGGAGAAATTGATTTGTTGTTCCATTTATTTATTTATTCATTGGTTGACCCCTGTCTGTATGTGCCCTGACCAGGGATTGAACCCACAACCTTGGAGTATAGGAGCAACACTCTAACCAACTGAGCAACTCGGCCAGGGTTGGGCCCGTGTATCTTTGTAGTCTAAATGTTGCCTCTCAGTGAGTGAGTGAGTGAATGAGTGAGCCGGTGGAGGAATACGTAACAGCCCTGCACTCCCTCATTACTTGGTCCTTGATGTGTTTGTCTAAATGCCTGCCTCATGGCCTTTCCCTCCAGGAAGGTACAGAGTTTTTGCTGTGTTGTGTTGAATGGAGTACACTTGAATAGTGTTGGGAAAATTAGAATGTCACCAGTAGAATGAAGGTTGGACCAGCCGGTCCCAGAAACACAGAAAGTGCCCTCGTTGGCCTAGATGCCAAAGTGAGTTAGTGGGTGAGTCTGGGACTGGCCCTAGTTCTGGCTCCTGGCCACAGTATTATTCCTGAAGCCAGTGGCTTCTGTGCCCTGCAGCCACTTTGCCTTGGCTCCTATCTGCCTCTTCCAGAGGCCAAGGGAGAAGCCAAGTGGTGTGCCTCTGGGGACTTGGTCAGGTTTACCCCCTCACCTACTACCTCATGAACGCCTGAAGCCACCCAAAGTAGCTTTTCATTAGAAAAGGCCTGTGGCTGCCGTTTTGTGTTTTATTACCTCAACTTTCTGGGGACCACTCAGCAGCCATTTCCAGGGTGCCACCTCTGGGGGCTGCAGCCTGCTAACCAAATGCCTGCTTTGCCAACAGGCCAAGTACCTGGCCCAGATCATTGTGATGGGGGCGCAGGTGGTGGGCAGAGCCTTTGCCCGGGCCCTGCGGCAGGAATTTGCAGGTAAGCTTGACCCCTGTCTCCCCCTGGGGTGGGAGCTCCTGCCCAGGTCAGACTTTCCCCATAGCAATGGGCCCCCGCATGCTGGGCCAGTTGTGAATGCAGGATTTCTGTGGGTTGGGGTTCTGGCAGCTTGGGTAGCCTGGGGCACTTCCCATGGTTGGGGGCAATGATGGACTGTGAAGCATTCCCATAAAAGGGAGACCTGGTTGACAGGAGCATACAGGCAGGAGTTGGCAAACTGGCCTACCTAGCCATTTGCTTTTGTAGATAAAGTTTTATTGGAACACAGCTATACCCTCTGGCTGCTTTTAAGACAGAGTCCAACACCGACTAATTGGCCTGCAAAGCCCTCTGATCCCTTAAGTAAAAGTGTACGGGCTTCTGAATCTAGGGTCATTGAAAAGGAAGTGGTCACCGGAGGCAGCCTGCTTTGGTGTCCTAGGTAACCAGTGGGCAGAGCTATTGCTGCCTCCTCTTGCCACAACTTCGCTGCTCCCCTTAGCCTAAAGATCCCCAACTTTCTAAGTGCCCAGATGAGGGAGCAGTAGAGAGAAGAGGGACAGGGTAATCTTTGTGGTCTAGGCTGGGGACCAGGCTCCAGGTTTGGTGACTAGACCCTGCCCCCTAGTGGAGCAAATCTGTCCTCACTTCAATACCCCTCCAACACTACCCCCAAAAAGAAACCACTCCTGGAGAAATGCCCTCTGGCCACTTCTGCCTCCATGTGTCACTTGGCAGGAGTGAGCCACCTACATGGAAGGCCAGGTGAGCTCTGGGCTGCTGAGGGTTGAGCACTAACCCACATGTTCACACAGCCAGCCGGGCAGCAGCTGATGCCCGGGGACGTGCCGGACACCAGTCTGCAGCCGCCTCTAACCTCTCCGGCCTCAGCCTACAGGAGGCACAGCAGATTCTCAATGTCTCCAAACTGAACCCTGAGGAGATCCAGAAGGTGAGGCCACTGGGCTTGCTCTGAGACAAGCAGACCAGAAAAGTGGGGGGGGGCAGGCCAGCAGCGTGGGTAAGAGTAAAGGAGGCCTGGCAAGAAGGGGTAGGGTAGATTTGGGGTACAGCCAGCTGGGACTCCGACTTGTGGGAGCCAGTGTCCCTTGTTAGTTTTTAGGCCCAAGGGAGGCAGTAGCAGGGGCATTGAGCAGTTGGTGGTAGCAGCCAAACCCCTCCCTCCGTGGGTACCTGTTCACCTTTCTGCCCCTTAGTGGTTGTAGTGGCTTCCTGTGTGGCATTTCAGGCATGCAGGGCGGAGGGATCGAGCCCTTTTGCTTTCCTTCTTTGTCATCTCCTAGCTTCCCCCGCCTCTGTAACCCAGAGACTGCACACCTCTCACCGTCTCCCCTCCTCTGCAGAAGTACGAACACCTATTCAAGGTGAATGATAAATCTGTGGGCGGCTCCTTCTACCTGCAGTCAAAGGTGAGTAGTGTTTGCTGCTGGGAGGAGGGCAAGCCATGTTCCAGGTAGTTCAGGGCTTGGCAGGTAGAAAGATGTGTGGGCCTTTCCCTGGTGCCCCAACCTCAGGGAGACCTCCTAAACTGTCACTCCTTTTGGCTGTCTCGGCTGTTGGGTTCTGTCAGGCTGAGCCCTGCATCAGCCTGGACAGTGGCCCTCCCAACAGCCATGACTTTGAGGGAAGAGGACCATTAGCTGGTGGATTGCTAGAAGCAGCTTCAGATCCCATATGACAGTCCATATGCCCTGGGCTGTCTCTCCTTGTAGGGGGAAGTCCCCAGGCCACCTTTCCTACCCCAGGCACTAGACCTGCCTCCTGCTGTCGGGGACTCACAGCTGGAATTGGACCATCTTGTGCAGGCCACCCTACCTAGCTGTTTGTAACTCCTTCCCCAGGTGGTCCGAGCGAAGGAGCGCCTTGAGGAGGAGCTCCGAATCCAGGCCCAGGAGGACAGAGAGAAAGAGAAGAGGCCACAAACGTGACCACTGGCTCCTCCCACCCCCCCTTCCACCTCTAATTTATAGCTCGTTAATAAATGTCTTTTCCGCATTTCTCAATTGCACGTCCAGATTCCAGAAAACAGACTGCTCTTCCTGCCAGCCATGGGCTAGTGGGAGAAGGGCAAGGGGCTGGGTGGGTAAGTTTGGCAAGAAGCCAGGCAGCCTACCCACCTGGCCCGGCCTGCCCGTGAGAGCCAGCCAAGTTCTGTTATGTACTGGACACAGCCACTCCTGCTGTCAGTGCCCGCACCAGGTCCCTTCTATAGTATGACCATCCTTGGATCTGCCGCTGCCCTTCTCACCTGGGGACAGAGCCCTGGGCACCCAAGCTCTGTCACAGAGCACCTCTCCACACTGAGTTTGACTCTAGCATCTCAGTGATTGGGGCCAATGCTCCATGTACAGCTGGGGTAGAGAAGCCTCTCATTGCACGGAGGCCCTGGAGCTGGGTCTTCCTAAGGGCTAAGCCACTTACCAAAGCCACCGCAGGTACTGCAGGACACGCAGCTAAGCCTGTGCGCTTTGTCTGGAATCTTGCTTTTCAGCTCCTAGCACTCCTGCTCCCTCAGCACCTGACCCCTCCTGCCCTTCCAGCTCCCAGCAGAATGTTGAGGTGATGGCACCCACAGGGTTAGGAGGAAACCCCAGAACGGCCTCTGGGTGCCGCAGGCTGGAGTGGGTGACCTTAGAGCCAGACACAGGACAGTTGGAAGTGATCTCTTGTTGGGTGGCCCAGCTTCTGGCACATCCACAACAGAAACCATCTTTGCAACTCACTTTTATTGTTTCTTTATAAACTTCCTCTCACATGGAGGAATATATTGTTATAGTCATTAGCTTATCTTTTTTTTTTTTCTTTTTACTCTATGCTAACAGCAGTGGAGCCAAGAGGAGGAAAAACATAAGCTACGATAGAAAGGCACTTAGAACCTGTTAAAATACTGATATCCTGGAATGTGCAACAACAAACCAACAACAACACATATACCAGCTCTCTTGAGCCTGGTCTATCACTGAGTCACATGCTGAGCTAATGTCATCTTCCAGTGCCCTGTTCCTCTGCTCCCTGGGCTTCAATTGCAAACCCAAACCCCTCATCCCCCAACTGGGGACTTAAAGGGCCTGGGGCCCTTCATGGGATGGGGATGCCTGGGTCCTGGATGAAGCCTGAAGGAGACCAGCTCCTTCCTGTTCTGCTCACAGCCCCTTCGAGAGGCAGAGCCAGCACTGCCAGGCCCTGTTAGGGCGGGCTGGGTCAGGGTGACCCCTCTAGGACAGAAGGGCAGTCCAGAAAAGGGTAGGGGTCAGCAGAGCTGCTGAGGAACAGTAGGGGGACTCTGGAACTGCAGGGCTACTACGGACCCCACTGCTGTCCTGCAGCTCCCTTGTTCTCTCAGGGAAAGGAAAGGGTTGCTCACTGATGCCAAGGACTGGGCAGGCCTGGAGCCAAAGCTCCTGTGCCTAGACCAGTGCCTCGGCACAGTGAGGGTTCAGGGTGGGGAAAGCACTTGCTGCATCCCCAGGGCCTGGTGGGAGAGCCCATTCCCTAGGGTCAGGTAGTGGGCACCTGGAACACCAGCATCCTTGGCTTATTCTGGCCCCTGGGATTTAAAAAAAAAAAAAGTCTAGGACAGAGGCTCAGATGGAAGAAGCCAGAGGAAACAGCCTATCTTAAGTCCAGGCTTCCACCAACTTCCCCCTCCCAGGTGGAGGGGCTGGGCCTCCCATAGGCAGTCTTGACTGCTTCACCATCCCCCCAAGGCCTCAGTCCATGGCCTCTGGAAAGCTCCTGTGCCCAGCACTGGCCTGTAGCCCTCCCTTGGCTGTGACTTGGCACCCCCAGAATGAGAACTGTCCCAACCTGGGGTCATCCCCAGCCAGCTTCCAGCCTCCTACCAGCCTGCAGGTGTCTGCAGCCCCAAGTGCAAGAGGGACGCTGCCCCAGGCCAGGCCCACCCCACCTGTTCCCTGAGCCAGGCCTGCCCGAGGTCCTGGCACCTCCCTTCCCCATACTCCAAGGCTCCCTACAAGGTAGAGGGGGGAGGCCAGTGGTAAAGAGGTGGCTGAGTGGTCAGCTGTTCCCTCATTTCGGAGAGCACCGTCCAAACCAGAGAAGGGCTGCTTCGGATAGGTCGGTAGGTGATGAGGGGCAGTGGGCCGAGCAGGCCTCCCTCTCTGAGCAGGAGGCACCTTGTCATAAGGATAAGGTGGCTCTTCCTGTGGCTTTGCAGGGGCCTGCGTCTGTCTTCTCTCCCTCTGGAGGGTGGGCCAGAGGGAAAGGGGTCCAAGGAGCCCCCGAGCGGGAGCCTGGTGAAATCAGGCAGGATGGGCAGGGGCCTCAATCCCAGGGCTCCTCGTCACAGCTTACCACATGAAGGGGTGCGGAAGCCCTGGGCCAGCAGAGGGGGCAGATGCCACCCCACCTGCCCCCACTGCTGGGATGTGGCCGGCAAGTGACAAGGTAGGGAGGGAGGGTGACCTGTCCAGGTTGGCCACTGGGTGAGGGAGGCACCAGGGTGGAGGACAGGGCCAGGAGACTGAGGGCCAGAGGTGAGTAAGGCCTCAGCACTCAGGGGCTCAGGTCTCTCTGGCGAGTAGGCAGTTCCTCCTTTGGGAGCCTGGGACACCAGCAATGACCTAGCACCATCCTTGCCACCCAGCTTGTCTGGGGCTGGGGCTGGGGCTGCCAGGGGAACACAGCCAACCAGGCCCTGGGGGCAGGACATTATTGCTATTTCGCAGAAAAGTTTCCGTTCGTCGGGGCAGGGCCGGGAGCTTCGGGTCGTCGTCCCTGGGATGAGTTCAATTCACCACAGCTGGTTTGAGCAGCACTGAGCCAGGCGGGATGACCACCCAGCCAGGGGCCAGGGCCTCTGGGCTGCTGGCCGCCGAATTGACGCCTGTGGACAGGTCCAGCACGGTGCCTGGCAGCAGGGGGAGTCCTTCCGGGCTGGGCCGGGAGCGGCCGCTCTCAGTCCTCTCCAGGGGGGTCTTGCGGCCCTCCAGGCCAAGGGCCCTGACTGGCACTGCCCCACGCCCCTTCTCCCCCTCAGCCTTGCCACCCGTGGAGCCAGCCAGAAGGGAGACCACAGGCAGGCCCAGTCCACCAACCCCAAAGGGTGAGGGCATCAGTGGGTTCTTGGCCAGATTGAGGGGCAGGACAGGGCCTGGCAGCTCATGGCCCATGCCCGCCCCACTCCCCCCACCCCCACCATTGCCACAGGCCAGGGCACTGAGGTCAAGGGGGCCGGGGGCCAGAGGCAGGGGCAGGCCGGGCAGGCCAGGGCCTCCGAAGAGGGCAGCCGGGTTGGGGATAATGATCTGGGCCCCACTGACATAGGGGCTGCCGTCGGGGGCAGGCAGTGGTGGTTTGGGGGGTGGGCGCAGTTGTAGGAGCTCCTGCTGCTCATGGGACACGAAGTGGCCATGGGCCTTGATGTGCTTGCGCAGCGAGCTGGGGTCCGTGTAGCGCTTGTGGCAGCCAGGCATCTTGCAGTAGTAGGGCTTGTCCACGTAGTGGGTTCGAGTGTGCTTGAAGCGGTCACTTGAGTTGGAGTAGCGCTTGTTGCAGCCCTCATATGGGCAGACGTAGGGTTTCTCACCTGCGAGTGGGGCTGGTGTGAGAGGTCTCCCAGCCCAGTGTCCTGCCCGCACCTACTACCTACTTGGCAGACCCAGACCAAGATGTCCTTGAAAGTACAGACTCCCATTTGAGGGGCGGTGTCCTCAGCACCTGGCATGAGATGTGACTCTAGGTAGAGGCAGCAAGGCACAGCCACTGAACAGCCAGCCTGGTTACCCTCAGAACCCCTGTGCACTGACTGTGTGCCCTTGGCCTTAGTGCTATGCTTCAAATTGCAGGTGACAACAGCCACGTCAATAAGAGAACTGATAAACCTGATTACAGACTTCCATAAAGCCCCTACTAGAGGCAAGCCCACAGTGAGCACTGCATGAATGCCGACTGCCCTTTATGCAGCCTTTACTCAGCAGAATGGCTCCAGATTTACTAAACGTCTGCTCCCTCACTGACCAGGATGGAGCCACGTGAGGCTATGGGCCTTTGAAGTGTGGCCACTCCAAATTGAGATGTGCTGTGAGTGTGAAATACATACCAGATTCTGCAGACTTCAAACGAAATGAAGATTTTCAGTGTCTCATTGATATATTTTTAATTTTGAAATGATAATACTTTGGACATAATTGGGTTCCAGAAAATATATGATTACAGTTCATTTCACCTATTTCTCTGTACTTCAATGCAGCAATTAGGAATTTTAAAATCAGGTGTGTGGCTCTGTTGGCCAGTGCTGGCCCTACTGTGTGCTGGCATATGGTGAGGAGCAAAGCAGACATATTGAGTGCAGTCGCAGGTGGCATGAGTCAGACAATCTTACAAACAACAGTGCCAAGTGTGGCGGGAAGACCTGTCTGTGCTCCGGTTTATTGAGGGTCTCACCTACAGGAGAGGCTTCCCCCAGCAAATGGAGCTCGAAAAGGGACCGTCAACAATGGGATGCATCCCTGTCTCTTGGGTGCCCGTGGATAGCCAGGCGCCTGCCCAGCTGCTACCCTCCAGCACCCCCTCTCACCTGTATGTGACCGGTTGTGGATTTTCAGGTTCTCCAGGCGGGAGAAGCTCTTGCTACAGGTGGGGCAGCGGTGCGGCTTCTCATTGGTGTGTGTGCGGATATGGATGAGCATCTTGTACCTGCTCCAGGGAGGGCATAGAGCACAGCTCAGCTCAGTGGACACCCATGCCCCCTCCCTCCTGCCAGCTCTTGCCCTTCCTCACCTGGCATTGAAGCCTCGACCGTGACGGGCGCAGCCTTCCCAGTGGCAGCAGTACCCCGCATCTTTCTCTGGCTTGACATGGTAATCATTAACATGATCCACCAAGTCTTGCAGGAGCTCGAAGAGCTGGTTACACTGCGGGGCCAGGGAGGGTTCTGAGCCCATGTGAGGCCACCTGCCCCAGGCCCTGTCCCACTCTTCCTGGCCCCCACTCACCTTGGCCCAACGACAAACCAGCTGCTTGGGCAGGGGTAGCTCTGGCGAGAGGCACTTGTCCTTCGGGGGGGTGAGGAAGGAGGAAGCAGGCAGATGCAGGGCTCCCCCCGAGCCCAGAGGCAGGAAGAACTGGAAGGAGCTGGGGACACTGTCCAGGTAGCGCAGCGGCTGGAAATCCTGGGAGGAGAGGGCGAGGGGCAGAGGTGGTCAGTGCCCCGTGGGGCCAGCAGGCCCAGACCCCTTCTGTCTCTTATAGCAAGTTGAGTTGTCCCCACAATATGTCCTAGTCCTAACCCCCGGTACCTGTGTGACCTCATTTGAAAATAAGATCTTTGTAGATGTGATCAAGTTAGAAGTGTGG